GATCCAAGTGCGGGATCTAAGTGCGGGATCTAAGTGCCTGATAGGTATGCGGAATTCTAGTGACAGATGCTGAGAGAAGTATAAGTTGATACCTTAATATCCCAAAATTTAACGTTTTCTAACTCTCACCTAAAAAAATCCAGCATTCTTATTTTAAACTCTAAAAGTACAAAAGTTCAGTATCTTGTAAAACTTTCGGCATTAACTCTAACTTGAAGAATATCAGTATGAACAAAAGATCTATTGTACCTTTGTTGCTTAATAGTATTGAAGAAATAAATCTGGAGCATCTCATTTATGAAGTTGAAAGTCCTTTTGAGAGTGGTAAGGCTTTATATAAGGCCCAAGGAATATCAATTGAGGAAATCAAAAGGGTAACTGAAAATTCTATGGAGGCTTTTAAAGTATGGAAAACCACTTCATTCACAGAAAAACGAAATGTTTTGGATCAAGTTGCTTCATTATTGGATGCTAGAAGAAGTTATTTTATGGATATTCTTGAAGAAATGGGCTTGCCACAGTGGTTTGCCCATGTAAATGTTGAAACAGGCATACAAATCCTTAAAGAATGCGCGGCTAACGTTTCAATGCCTTTGGGAACAATTCCTCGGAGTAGCCATGAAGACATTTATACGGCAGTAGTAAATGAGCCAATAGGTCCCGTTTTAAGTATTGCACCCTGGAACGCACCCATAATTTTATGTATCCGTGCAATCGCGGGACCAGTGGCTGCAGGTTGCAGTGTTGTTGTAAAAACCTCCGAGCATTCCCCACTTGTTCACATGGAATTGGCTAAATTATTTACTGAAGCAGGTGCACCGTCAGGTTTAGTGAACTCAATAAACCATCGCCCACAAGATGCTTCTGAAGTGACGAAAGCGCTTATTAGATCGCCCCATATAAAAAAAGTTACCTTCACTGGATCTTCACAGGTAGGCCAGATTATATCAAAGATAGCGGCAGAGGTGTTTAAGCCAGTACTTCTAGAGTTAGGAGGTAAATCAGCTGTTATTGTAACGAAGTCAGCAGACATAATAAGAGCTGCAGACGCGATTCTTAATGCAGCTTTCGCTCATAATGGCCAAATATGCATGAGTACTGAAAGAGTTTATGTCGAGAATGAAGTATACGACAACTTTGTGGATGCAATTTCAAAGTGTTTCGACGAATTCACTTCTACACAAAAGAAACTTCCACAGAGATCTTCAATTCAATCCAAAAAAATTGATTCCATGGTAAGAAATGCTATAAAGAATGGTGCGAAAATGCTATGTGGAAGACTTTTTAGAGACGATGCTTATATTGAGCCTCTAGTCATTGCAGATGTTTCAGGAAAAGAAGATATTTATGACAACGAAACTTTTGGGCCTATATTTTATATTAATAGGGTATCGGATGTGTCGGAAGCAATCAGTAAGGTCAATGCAAGTAGATATGGTCTCTCTACTGCTATTTGGAGTAGCGATGTACTACAAGCTTTAGAGGTTGCTCGTGACCTTGAGTCAGGAGCAGTTCATATAAATGGTAAAACTATTCATGATGAGGCTACTTTACCCCATGGAGGTGTAAAGGAGAGTGGATTTGGACGATTTAATAGTACATGGGGATTACAAGAATTTCAATACACGAAAACAATAACTTTAGCTAAATGACTCATACAAGATGGGGACTTTTTACATAGTTTTTTTTATAAGTTTCTATTGAAAAGTGTTGTGGCTCTAAATAAAAACGGACATATACATACTTGTACAGTGTTGAGCAAATAATTGTTAGTTTTTCTTTTTTTGTCGTATTGTATAGTATTTTTGTAAATGTCATATTTTAAAATGACTTATACTCATTGAAATAAACATTTTTCGTAAAATGTTTCATTGACCAGAACTCAAAGAGTAAGAGAAAGTAATGAACATATGAAAAAGGAAGACTGCTGTAGTATAGATAAGCGTTCAGACAATCAAGCCAAAGATGCCTATTCGATCTGGAATGCATTAAATTATAAGCTTAGCACCTTAGTTTTTTCAATCGTGTTTCTGCTTATAGTTCTGACTCTGTTACCCTAGCGTTCAGATATGATGGTATTAAATAAAAATGGCTGAAGAAATTTTACAAGCCATGCATTAGGGTTGCTAATCAAAGTGAAAAGATACCAGTTCCAAAGATTGCTCAAAAAGACTCAATGCGACTATGAGGGTAAATTATGCGTCGTCAAAGATAAAACTCATGGTATTATTAGAGAAGATAAAGCCTTAAGTTGCATTGCTGATTACATCGCTGGTAAATATGACCCAATTTGCGCTGGCTCTGGCTCTGTTTTTCAGTGATGTTTCTCTAAGAGGTTTTACAAATATACACCGTTACGGCCAGTTCTTATTTCTATCAATGCTATCGCTTACTCTGGTGTTTCTCAATCTGAAACCAAAGTTGACAATAATGTGTGTTAAAATGCGAACACAGATAAACTTTTGTTCAGCATTCCCAAGATAATTGGTTTTATCAACCAAAAGATCACTTTGGAAGAGGGACTGTTGTTATTACTGGAACTCCACGTGGCTTTGGTACAGGTATGAAACAACCAAGATATCTAGAAAACGATGATATTGTTGTGGGCTACTATTGAAAAAATCGGAACCTTTCCCTAAAATGGAGTTTGAATAGATTGACTTTAGTTTAAACTTACATACAAATAGGACGGTGTTGTGTTCAAAATGAGTAATTTATAGGTGTAGTTTTTTTGTTTTCCTGTTTTTGATATATTTTAGAAACATACATAATTGTTATTGTATGTTCCAAACTATCTATATTTGGAAATTAGTTTTCTTGTGTTGTGCCTAAAATAAATTGTCGCATCCTTTATCTTTATATTTGTCAGGATACCCGTGGCCGAATATTTCATTATACAAATTGTCATTGATTTTCTCCCGGAGTCATTTCCACTAACAGAGATCCTATGTTCATCGTGCCACGACTTGAGGCAGAAAATTGTAAAATATAATACTTCCTGGGATACAGAATGCCGCTCCCTAGAACTGTTCTACAGACCCGTGTTATATTTTGTGTAGTAAGAACTTTTCATTTCATTACAAATCAACATGTCATCCGTCTATTATAACCTGCTTCTGATTTCCGAAGGATGTTTATTGGTATATGGTACGTCCAAAGCAGGAAAATCAAGATCATGTAGTTAAAGGTGACACAATAATCAGCAATATCATTTTCCAATGAAATTGTTAAAAAAAACTAAAAAGCTTTTAGATCAAAAAAAATACTAAGATTGAATGTAGAAATATCTGTACTTGGCATTCCATGAAGCTACTCTGGGACACTCATCGATTGAGCGGTTTACGATAGCTGGAGCTGAGCATCTCTCGAATTCAATAGTGCGCTTGAATGTCCTCAATGACGCGGGAATAGAACCCCTCGCGGAAGCGATTTGACGGACTAGATTTTCCATGTTAAGCGGATAGTACGTGAAAAAAATACAGAGTGCGATTAACCGAAAATGTTTGGAGATAGAAGGCATGAGCCAAATGTGCGGAGATCAAGTTTTTATCTGCGGCTGCTTCCGCTAAGTTTGTAAAATGTGGGGTCCAACAAGGTATTTTATAAAAGGGGGACTAAAACTATATATTGGGAACAATATTAAGGTAATAATCGAATTGAAGAGTTTTAATTGAGCTATTTAAGAATGACTGTAAAAAATAAACTCAAAAAAAGTCAAACAGATGTGTTAATAATCGGTGCGGGTCCATCAGGGCTAATGATGGCATGTTGGTTGGCAAGAACAGGAGTGCCATTTAGAATTATCGACAAGCGTACTAATGAGATCTATGCTGGTCAAGCTGATGGATTGCAAAGTCGAACTTTGGAGGTCATGCTGAGTTTTGGCTTTGGTGAAAGAGTATGGAACGAGGCCAACCGCATGCCCTATATGTCGTTCTGGTGCCCAGACGAAAACGGGGAGTTGAATAGAGACAGTACCATTCCAGACTGCATTCCAGGAATTTCCCGTTTTCAACAGTGTGGATTGCACCAGGGCCGCATAGAGTGGTTTTTTGGTGAAGCTATCAGCAAGTGGTCATGTGGTAAAGCCGCGGTGGAAAGACCTCTCTTACCACTATCTATCAAGGTGGATGAAACGACAGCAGAAGATCATGAGGCCTATCCAGTAAGCGTTCTCCTAAAGGACTTGAGTAAGGGAAATGAGAAAGAAAAGTTGTCAGTACCTGAACAATATGGTAATAGCACTCAAAATGGACTCTACAGACAGTTTGAGGGTGATCAAGAAAAATTTTACAAGGATCTTACGAGTGACATTGAAACTACTGACTCTGTCGACAAGGATGAATATGAAGTAGTTGAGTGCAAATATGTTGTTGGTTGTGATGGTGCGC